ACGTTGCAGCAGCAGAGAGGTTTCGGGACTAATTTCAAGTGAGGATGGTGAAAGTGTTTTAGGAAGTCAGAGCGATTGCTTTGATGGTTGTCGTCATAGATCCTGCTTTTGAGGCTTTATTTGCTTCTGAATTTAGATTCCCAGGTCAGGAGAATGAATTAGGAGTCCCAGGTCGTGGTCATGGACAGGGTGGCAATGACGATGATGATTTGTACAGGTGAATATAGAATACCGTTTGTGAAAAGCCTTAAAACTAACACTTTAAAATTGATCTATTAGTAGAGATAAGGATGAAAATCCATCTTAGCCGGAGATTCTATTACAATTGCTGTTATTAACAGATTTTAGTGGGTTTGACTCTGTTCTTTTTAGTGGTCTTCATGTGTGGAAAAGTTTTTAAAGAGGCTTTATTGGTATTTTTTTAGCTAGAGGTTAACGGGCAATTTGCACAAGTGGTTATCGAGTGATTCTACCTCTTCTTATATGTAGATTTCGTCATTTCTTCCGCGGATGAAATGTTGATGCTGATTTTGTTAGTGGAGTGCAGTGATTTCGTTGCAAATCATTTATGTTGTCTTCTGAGTTATTGCACGATTTCGTGGATAAAGTTGTTGAGTTTCTGAAGCTTTTTAATTTTTCAGCGGAGCTGGAAACGTGGGAAATGTGTAATCAAATGTTCCCGACTGCTTTTAGTGAGTTTTGAGTGTTTCGCTGAGTTTTTTAATTTCGAAAATTATAGGTTGGCTGCAGGTTTTTGGTTTTCAGTTCTGGCCTCATTATTCTCGTTTGTTTCTGATAGTTTTATTTTTGGGACTCTCGCTATAATTTTGGACGAGTCATGTTCAGTGTGAGCGATACTAAGGGAGATCTGAAAGTGGTTTTATGTCACGTAGATTTAGGTGGGGATGAGGGGTGGTCGTGAAGATGCAATATAAATTGAAAATAGGGTGCCGGGAGGAGATTATTTGGTAGGATGGGTTCTGCTGTTTTTAGTGGTACTCTGCAATTGAAATAGTTTTTAGACTTAAGGAAATGACAGAACGGAACGAAATTATTGTGGTCGAGAAGTTGTGTTTTGTTTTTTTACACTTTGGAGCAAATTTATTCCTCAAACCTAGGGCATTTGGAGTTGAAATATTAGGTGTTTTTTCGTGATATGACATTTCGGAGTATGAGTTTTTGTCAAAAATTGTTTTTGTTTGTTTACTTCGTTTTATGTAGTATTAGTATGCTAGAGTTTAATTTGATTAGTGTTTTGGTGTCAGTGATTGCTTTACTTCTCTAAGAAGGCATTGCCGTTGTAAACCAGGCACCACGTTGCTCGGGTTGGTCAGGATCATGTGGCTTCTTCAAGATGCGCCAGACAGCTAATCCTTTAAGAGTGTCTGACTAGCTTTTTGTTGGGGGGTCTTCTCTTGACTGTGTAATTGTGAACACTGCGGTAGTTTTGGTTTTCGTGTTTCAGAGTGGGTAGTTCAGTGCTTTGGAAGTTTTGCTTTATCGTGTTATTACTTCTGGTTGTTAAGATAAAAGCAGAGCCGCAAATCAAAAGAAGTTGAATCAAGAAACCAGAAGACTGAATGTCCATAGAAGATTATATTTGGAAAGCATGGACTGGTTGTTTCTCCTCTGGCAGATTGTGTTGGTATTGGTAGATTTTCATTTTTAGGTATCATTTCGTCTTTATTGAGAAAAGATGTTTGGGAGTTTTGCAGCACAAGTTTGTTGAAGTTTGGCGATTAGTATAGGCTCAGGAGCTTGCTAGTTTTTGATAAGGTTCTTTGGACTTTCAGTTTAAAGATAAGTTGGAGACTTTTATGATTCTGAAACAGCTGAAAGTGTTCGGTCAGTTTGTGATTTGCAGAAGATTTGGAGTGGTTTCGGCTGTGGTGAATGCAGCAGTGAGGAGGAAGCTGATTTTAGCGGATTTTAGGCAAGATAGGAATCTGTCGATATTTTTTGAAAACCTGTTTGGATTGATTCGTGTTTTCTCGGTTTTCGGCCGTTTTTTAGTGGTTGTCTTGATGAATTTTTTTCAAGAGCAGATAGCAAGTGAAAGAAAAGTTGCATTTTACTGGGCGGTACATCTGAGGTCAAATAAATACTTATTGAAGAAAATAAAAGCTTGTGTTGCTAGGTAGTAAAATATGAGTGGTTCATGTAAGTGACTGCGCTTCAAATTTGAGTGGTCTCTTCGCCTTTGAATTATTTTGGTTGGTGAGGTTCAGGTTTTGAAGAAGTCAGCAGTTGCTCAAGGTTAGTCTGAATGGTAACCTAAGTTCGCACTAAGGGTCTGGAGGAAGAATTTGCTTTCTCTTTTGATGGAAAAACCTCATGTTGCTTTCAGTTAGGTGGTTTTAGTAGGGGTACCTCCGCGGAAATTCTGTAGAAAAAAGTACATTGGCAGAAAAAAATTAAAGCTCAATGTTTTTAATCCTGTGGGGTTGGGAATGCAAGGTGCTGTTCATGGAAACTAGACGTAATGGTGAAGTATATGTAATGGATGGAACATTGGTTCCATGGACGTGCGTGAACTATAACGGTTTAATCTGTGTTTTGTATTGTGGTGCGTCACTTTTTGTTGAAAGCTTCAGATTTTGGCAAGCATAAAATTTTTTTGGGGATCTTGTGGCAAAGTTTCATACCGGTTCTTTGACGGGTTCACATATTACAAAAATATTTTTCAAAGAGAAATGTGATTTGTGCCATAGCGTGTTCTAAAAGATTTTCTGCTGTCGGTGGAAATGCGTTTCTGTATTGCAACGTTTTGACCTCTGTCTTTACTGTGCAATGGAAATGTGTATACAGAAAAAAATTCAAGTGGTTTTCAAACAGCTTGGTCTTCATGCTCTGTATCTGTCGAACTCAGAGAAGGGGATTTTCAATTTTCTTTGCAACTATGCCACTACTGAGGGGTGAAAAAAAAAAAGAAAAGAAAAAAAGGGCTGAAAAAGGCTTGGTTACAAATTGTAACCACAGAAAAAAGAACATTAAGCGGAAAAGGCGAGAGATTTATCGACAAGTAACACCATTCTTTAAGGTTTAGCGATGCCGATTTTGCGTATATTTAGTCATTTTTGAGAGACAGGGTTTCTGCACTCACTTTTGTGGTTGCCTTATGGTAGCGTTAGCAAAAATGTGACTAAAAGTGTTCCCAAAATTTGTGTATGACATCTCAATGTCTCTTTGCTTGTTTAATTGTA